TATGCAGACGATTTCAACATACTATGCAGAAGCAATAACCTAAATACAGTGCAAGAGTTTCTCCAAAAAAGTGCGAACAACTTATCAGATTGGTCAAAAAAAACAGGCTTCTCATTCTCTAACCTAAAATCACAAAGCATCATCTTCACAAAACGAAGGAAAATAAAACCACTAAAAATAACACTAGACAACCTCGTCATACCCAACCAAGATAAAATAAAAATACTAGGAATTACATTCGACTCCAAACTAAATTGGTTACCTCACCTTAAAAATATCCGTGATTCACTATCTCAAAAACTCAATATAATTAAAATAATTTCACATACAACTTGGGGTGGGGACAGCTCTACCCTTTTAATGATCTATAGAGCTTTAATCAGATCAAAAACAGACTATGGCTCAATATTATTCAACAATGCTAACACCTCCCACTTAAATATGATTCAAACCAAACTCAATACTGCCATAAGATTATCAATCGGGGGATTTAAATCCAGCCCAATTGAGAGCATTAGAAACATCGCCAACGAAATTTCCCCTAAACTCAGAAGGGAAAAACTACTTCTATTGCATTGTGCCAGAACCAAAAGAAATACATACAACTCAGCAACCAAAATAATAAACACATATATACAAGAAGCTGAAAAAAAAAATATAAAAATAAACAACATTCTAGATAGAAAACCCTATAATTTCCCCCCATGGAACACGACATTCAACGTCAACCTCTCACTAACAAATTTCAAAAAAGAAAACACAATTCCCTCCATATATAAAAACATGCTTCAAAATATACTGCAAGAGCATCCAAACAGTGTTCAAATTTATACTGATGCCTCCAAAACCAACAACGGAGTCGGGGTTGCAATGATAGTAAATAATCAAAAAATAACATATAAACTTCCTCCCCAAGCCTCAATATTTACAGCAGAAGCGATTGCAATATACAAAGCAGCCAAATTTTTCCACTCAGAATGCGTAAGCCCCGAAACTAAATGCATAATTCTTAGCGACTCACTAAGCAATCTAATAGCAATCACAAATACAAGTAACCCGCCCGATACCACAAAGCTCATCCAAGAAGAAACCTTCCAGGCTGGCAAAAAAGGGAAACAAATCCTATTTGTATGGGTTCCTGGACATAGTGGTATACTGGGAAACGAAATAGCGGATAAAGAAGCTCATAACGCAATAGACTCAACATCAACCACAAATATAAATTCCATCACATTCGACGACGCGAAAATCGTAATCAACACTTACATAAACAATAAATGCCACTCCCACTGGCGACAACTTAACACTAAACTCAATCAAATTAAAAATAACACCAACCTATGGACAAATTCCGGACTTAGTAGAAAAGATGAAACCACAATCAACAGACTTCGAATAGGACACACACATCTAACGCACAGCTACTTGATGAGCAACGACGAACCTCCATCATGCGACACATGCAGAGTCCCCCTAACGGTAAAACATATCATCACCGAATGCCATAAATACAACCAGTACCGCGATCAATTCCACATCTCTGAACAAATCTGTCAAGCACTTGGACCAAACCCACAGGACACTAACAACTTAATTTTATTCCTTAAAAAATCAGAATTGTATAACTTAATTTAAAAAAAAAAAATTATGAAATATATTATTGTTAACACCTTGTACTAATGACCTAGATGTCGATGTATTCAGATCAATAAAAAAAAATAAAAAAAAAAAAAAAAAAAAAATAAATAACTAGCTAAATTACCCGTTGATGCCGGGTAACAGTAAAAAAAATAAGATTTTTGAATAATTAAATAAATAATTTATGTATATATTATTATAATAATGTGAAATCAATATTTAGGAAAAATCTGAAATGGAAAATTATTTGAATTTTTAAGTTTTAATTATATTTATAGAAATACGCTAAGCATTTACATAGGAGAAAACTACTAATATTTCACTCCGTAAGTGATAAGCAAATGAAAATGTTATGAATTCGTGTATTGTTACTATAGAATTTCTTTATTAAATATATTCATTTTATCTTTTTTGTTGTTTAGAATAATTTGTATTTTAAAGTTTTCAAAAGATCTAAGTCTGAACATGGCAACATAAAGTTGACCATATTTAAATACCAATTGGGGTAAATACAATCATACTTTATTAAATGTTTGACCCTTTACTTTGTTGATTGTCATAGCAAAAGCTATTCTTATCGGAAATTGACGTCTAGTAAATGAAAAGGGAAGAGTAGAATCTGATGGGGTCAAATCAATTTTAGGCAATAAAATACACTGGTCAGTTGTTTGACCAGTTATAGATTCTAAGTCTAAAGATTGGTCGTACATATTTCGTACAGTAAATCTTGTACCATTCATTAGATTGGAATCTACATTAAACTTCAATAGTACTACCATAGCTTGCTTTAATATCATACTGTGCGGAGGTAAATCACTTAAATGTAAATTATCTAAAAATTCTGTAGGAAACAGAAAATTATAACATTCTTTTGACACTGTGTTTAAACTTAAAAACGTTTTTTCTTGTCCTGACAACATAATAACAATTGCATAATTTATTTTATCACAATAATAATTTTCGGGTGAAAGAATAGAAAACTGTGAAAAAATAGATATATTTTCTAAATTAAAAATAATATCTCCAATTACGTCTTTTATTATATCACTTGATAATAATGACGGTTTTATTTCGTCCGTATCAGGATTTATTAGTGGGTATTCGACATTTCCAATATGTAACAAAAACTAGGAAAATTCAATTTTATTTTGGTATACTCGCCTATTTCTAAATATTTTAAGAATTTTAAAATGTAAACAAATCGGGGAATATTTTATACTGCTTTGAATAGTAAGCAGTCTAGAGCCATGTGGGACAACAGGTAAAACTTGTCTAAAATCTCCTCCCAATCCCAAGACAATAACTTTTCCAACAGAGAAAAAACCGTTTTCCATTACATATTTTGATAATCGTTTAACAACCATTAACGCATATACACTTACCATAAGTGCTTCGTCCACAATAAAAAAAATTTGGTTTTCGTTGATATCTCTTTCCTATTAACCTTTAATGATAAAACTGAATCATCTGTCAAAATAAAATTTAATTTAAATCGAATATGTACTGTATGACCTCCAGGTAACAACATTGCTGCTATTCCAATTCAAGCAACGGAAATTACATCACAACCCATTTCTATACATTTGTTAATGAGGCATTTGTAGACGTATGTTTTCCCTTTACCTCCGGGTCCATCAATAAAATATGCGTTGGAAACTTTTGTATTATGAAGATTCATATATTTTATAATATCTGAATACATAATATATGAAAACATAGGGCTGCCAACAAATGAAAGTGAAGTAATCCTCTTTTTTGGAATTCTATTGTATAAATGTAAGTTTTCACATCAACAAATATTTATTTTGTTCTGATTATTTTTAATAAGTGTTCGACTTTTGCATGAAAATACGAATAACAATACGAATAACAGGTCTGTTGTTTGAGAAAATACTTGTAGTATTCTCTGGTCACGAAGCACTGTAGGTAAATGTAGTGAAAAAATCTATTTTCCGAAATTTCTTACTACTTCTATGGCATCTTGATAATTCTTAACCATATTTCGATGGCTACCGATAAATGAAGAAGGCGCGGCAGTCATAATATATTAATAATTATAATAACAAGGGTCGTCGACCATCTGTCTTTTCTGATCAACCACCAGTCCACAGGGTGCACCGTGAACGCGACACCCGGTTTTCCATCCATTATAGGATCTGGAACGGTCGTGAGGACGTCCAAAACTCACCGGCACGGTGTCTGTTCTGTGATCGAAAAAATAATGACCTCGCGTCATCGACCGTCCACCAGAAACCATTGTTTCTGTCAGTTGCGTTTTGTGTACCGATTGCATTGATTTACATGACTTGCGCAAGTGTTTATCACCATAAAAATAAACACAATTATGCTATCGGACATTGTGGTCATTTGATTTCCATCGTATTATGTTGTGTTGTGCGTTATATAATGGACTCGCTCCACAACAGGGTAATACGACTAATTTTTCCACTCCAACATTGGCGTTGTCAGCCTTCACTCGCATAAAGCGTCTGCTAAGCCAGAATGTGTGTCTACTCTTAATTTTGACTGTTGACTTTTAATATATTTCAATCTATCACCTTCAATACGACAATAATAATCACCCATCAGTTGTTCGGTCGATTTAGCTAAGCTCAGTACTTAATTAAAATTACCACATGGGTGAGTACCTTGTTCGTAATCATTATAATTATAAATAGGTAATCCATACGAAAAATCACCAATGACGAATTCTTTATACATTTCCCAATTATTTATCATCAAGTTAACAAATTTTACTCGAATATTTCGATGTTTTTCTCCAACCGTTAAAGAACTAGCTACTATATACTACAAATGATTCCATACTAAACTCGATTCCCATACAAACCCCATTATAAAAAATATGCTCTCCCACACCTTATCTGAAATCCCAGATCGATGCCTAAAAAGGAACTGGTCCCGTGACCTTTTAGTATAAAAACTAAATTTACTTCTTCATTTTTGTGTTCATTTCATTTCACAATCATGTTACTTATGTCAATTGTATTCATTTCTATCATATTTACATATTGTTAAGTATTGTAAAGAGTTTTAATTTCTTTTTGCAAAAAAAAAAACATAATAATAATAATAACAATAATAATAAATAAAAACCATTTTAATATAATAAAAGTCATTAAAATATTTTTATATCCATAAGGAATATTTCTTATAGATAATTGAGTTGCAGGATGGAAATCATGAATACAATTATTTCGACTTTGAATGTCATGTTTTTTTTTTTATATGTTGAAACAAAATTAAGCAGTATTCAAAATACCAGCAAATGGATACTGGAATTACTTATTCCCAAACGAATTGTAGAGTTGTGTCCAAACCCCGCATTAGTGATTTAAATGTTTACGTTCAAGCTGGGACTATCTATAAATTATTGAAACATTCATCAATTTAAATTGAGCACGTGGAACAGTTATTAAATAGAAGTTCATATGGAAAAAAGTCGTACCGATGGAAAATGTAATATACTAACATATTTTATACAATAAGTTAAAATTAAAATTAAAATAAATATATGTATTAATACTTATAAACAGTAAGTTACACAATTTATACCGTGTAATATACTTGTATTAATAATTTAATATTATCAAACTAATTAACGGACAAATTTAATATTGCTATTTTATTCCATACTTGTATTAGTCTTTTATTAATTGTATTAATTAATGATGTTTCAAGTTTAATGTCATATTATTATTTTTAATTTTAACTAACAAGTGTATAAGTTCAAATCATATTAATATAATATTTTTTTTTAATTTCAGCTCATTCCAGTATCAGTATTAGTTATTTCATAATTTATAATAAAATAGTCTTCCTTTGTTTATAAAATAATCGAACAAAAATTAAAAACCTTTGAATTACTATTTTTTTTAAAAATAATTAATTTTTATATTTGCTATTCAAAGAAAAGTAATTTAAAGACGGAAAATTTATTTTTATTAAAATTTAGTCAACTATCAATCAAACTGTTTATAAAATAGATATTTCCACATTAAGTGTTTAGATATCATTCATAATGTTCTATAATTATTTTTGACCATTCTAATATATAGCGCTCATAGTAAAATATGCCTGTAGATAACACTCACCTGTAAATAAAACACACACGTCGAATAATTTAAATTAATTTTATTCTTATACAAACTTATAACTACACGGAAAATACAAAAAAATGCTAGATGATAGGTCCTCGTTTTTCTGGTTTATATCATATAATAGTTCAATCCGTTGAGTCGAAATACGGTCATCCGGGTTGGTTAAGTCTAATAAACGACTACAGGATTATTCGATATTACTTTCGTAGTTTACATAACATCTATAATAATGATTATTATTGTCATTACAAATGGGGTGACAAGGACAAACGTTTGCGACACGTCACAGTTAGACGTGGCATCTCGTGCCAATGTTGCGACGCATCAGTCGTGTTTCCGACGGAAATGTAAAATAGGACTGTTGGGAAAAGAAGAATTAATAAATTTTTATAAATATAGATTTTAAACTTAATTGAATAAGAACAGTTTAGTTAAAGATTACCATATGGATTTTATATTGCAGTTTAATTATGAAAGAGTTTTTTATTACTTAGCGTTTATCGCTATCAAATTACCTATATTTTTTTTCTTTCTTTTAATACCACAATATATAATATATATACTCGTATATCCATGTGAATATATCATTCACTATAGAAACACGTCCAGAAATTAATTGATTGTTTTTATATAGTGATAACTGAATTTTACGAAAAAGTGTATTTTTTAAATTTATTTCTACTGATAAATCTAGGTACAGAATAGAGCACCTTTATTTTCGCTCCTTTTTATTGTTTTTTTTTGTTTTAATAGGGTTTTTATAAAAAAAAAAAAATGAGAATACGTCAAAATTTGATGATAGAACGTACCACATAGCAGATAATCTTATCATAAATATCTTAACAGATACTCGAATCATCATATATTATTTTTTATTATTGAATCGTTAAGGTTAAAAATTAAAAAAAACATATCTTTAATGTAAGTAAAATTCATCAGATTATACACAAACATTTCTGGATAAAATATATTTAATTTCAATGTGTCATAAATCCAATTCTCTGTTAATTTTCTTTTGCAGTACCTTTTTTAAAACGTTTAAACACACAGATTGCGAAAATTCAAGGTGCTCTAAATAACACTACTAAGACCTGTTAAATCGATTTCGACTAAAGATCAGTAGATACTATTCGGGTTCTATGATGTTTTATGATCTGAATGAACAATCATCACGTTTTCAACGACCTTTTCTTAATAACACTTATCGAAACAAAATTCAATTGAAAAACGTGTAGTCGTTTTTACACGCCCTCGATGTTTTTAGTTTACCAATAAACACGCCGAGAACCCTATTTTGACGGATTCGAACGCTTTTCCAAAAACCAATCTACGTCCCCAATCGGTTCGTTTTCGAACGAAACGCTTGTCTCGATCACCACGTATCACGATGCGATGCGAGTGATAGCCGAT